GCCCCCGAGCCTCCCGGGATCCTGTTCGCCTTTTAACCGCAAGCCCCGCCCACGCGCCACGCCCCTGCGGGGAAGGCCGCCGCCACCGCCCACACTCCCCACCCTTGGGGCTCCGGGCACCCAGCTGACATCTGGGGGCCCTTTCTCCACTCGCGGTTTCCTGCCTCCCTTCCGTTCCGACAGTAAAACCGCTGCCCCACCCAGTTCACTCACCCTGGAGCGCCGGGAATTACCACGCTCTCCCTTCCCCCGCCTCCTCCACCATGCGCGCGCGACCCCCGAACGCATTCCCACCAACACCCCGGACGGCGCGACTCCCCATCCCAGCTCCACAAATCAGAAGCAGCCGCTCTGATCACGCACAAGTCTTAATTTAATGGGTAAAAACGTTAAATTATCACACACTTTTTTTCCATAAAGCTCAATAAATAGAATCTATGTGTTGTTGTTTTCAACGCTGTACAAGAGACTGGAAAACAAGCTTCCAACAAAATAGGAATGAACTCAGGCTACCCTGTTATGGATTTAGATCGCTCCCCCCTCCCTCCCTGCCCGAAGCAAGTGCGCACACTTCGGCTCTCTCCCAGCACAGCCGGCCAAGGTCGCCAGGTTCCAGGAGTCCCGGAGGCGGCGATGACCTCACTCGGGCTGGGGCTTTAAACGACCTGCCCTTGGGTCTAGTCTGTGGCCCCAGCATCCCAGGGCACAGAGAAAATTGAACCGTTTCGGTGGCTGCTGCCTGCGGAGCCCTCCTCTGTCCAACACACCAAAAGGGGTGAGAAAAACAAATGAGAAACGTCCCCCAAACACACGCACCCCAGAAATCAACACCAATAAGCCACAAATGGTACTCCTCCGCCCATTCGCCAAGGAGCGAGGAGAGAAAGTGTTTCTTTCTTCCTCTTCTGATAAGTAACCCCAGAGGGTGGCCTCGGGTCACAGAGGGGCCACCTTGTGGCCCTGCAGGATGTCCATGAGGTCCTGAGACCCCCTCTGCCGCGCCAGCTCCAGGGGGGTGAGCCCCCTGGCGTCTTTGTGATGGAGATCGGATTCAGCTGCCAGGAAGTTGACCACTGCGGTGTGGCCCTCCTGAATGGCCAGGTGGATGGGGAGAGCCCCAGAGCCATCAGGGACGTTGACATCGGCGCCGTGATCCACTAGGACCTTCAGGGTGTCCAGGAATCCCGTGCGGGCTGCGTCATGGATCGGGCTGGTACCAGAGGCGTCCTGGACATTGGGGCTGGCCCCTTGTTTTAGCAACTCCAGGGCGATAACAGGGCTGCCAAACATCATGACCTGTGTGGGGATGGAGGGTCAGGAGGTCCCCAAAAGAGGGGGGGTAGAAAAGGGGGTCACTGGAGAAAGGAGGGGGCATCAGACAGGGTGGTCTTCCCGGAAGAGGGAATGGCAGGGAAGGAATCCTCTAGAGAACAGAGAAACCCCAGGAAATATAAGACCCCCCTCCCAGAAGCTGTTTGAAACCCCAAATAACAAGTTCTCCTAGGAATAGGGTCTCCTCCCTCCCCCAAGAGGCCAGGACCATCCCCTCCCCCAACTCAGAGAATAACCCGTGGAAACTTTCAATGACTCTAAGACCCTTTGGGAAGGAAACAGAGACACCCAACTCCCAAGATATGGGAAATCACCAGGAAAGATGGAACCCCTCCAGGAAATGGGGCCCTATAGACTGAGAACTGCTCCCCCAAAACGTGACAGTCATCTCAAGGGGAAGGAGATGCTCCGGGGAACTTAAAATCTCTCATCTGGAGAACAGCCCCTCCTATGTATTAGGGACGCTCCTCATCCCCGAGAAATGGGATTCCCCGTAAAATGCCCCCCAAGGAATAGGGACCGCGTGCAGTCCGATATAGTTCCTCCACTGGGGACCCCATGATATACAAAGAATCTGTAACACCCCTCCCACCAAAGTAACCAGAGAGCTTTCAGAGAAACCCCTCCCCAAGACCGGGGACCCACCCAAAATAAATCCTTCCTTCCAGAGAGCAGATCTCCCCATTCTTTTTAAATCCTTAAAAAGCTGAGCTGTCCTTATGAAATCGGGATGCAAATTGGCCGAACCTCCCTCCCAAGGGAAAGTGAATTTCCCCCCACCTACCGTATACAAAGAACAAGGATTCCTCCTAAAATGAAAAACCCCTCCCCCCAACCTAACCTCACCCGCCAGCCACCTACGAAAGGGGACCTCAGAGAGCAGCATCGGCCTAGAAAAGGGGGATCGACCCCAAATCGGTCACCATCCCCCCAGGACCAGAGACGAGAGAGGAAAAAAGTCGGAGGACACGGTCCCCACCCCCGCCCCCGGCCTCACCTGCAGCGCCGTCTT